CCCAACTTCCATGGGCAATTCCTTCCCTCTATAGGGCCGAGGAGTCTTTGCTGCCCAAGAGTTCAAGTCCAGCAAGAAGGCTTGAGAACTAGTGTGGACTTACCCTAGGGAAGCTGCCATAACCTAGTACCAGCTGCAAAATTTCAAGAGTGTCTTTTTGTCCTTTCTCTAATGTCTTCGCCTTAGTAGACAGTGTGATGCTTTCCCATTCAAGGTCCTGGATTCCCATCCTTCCCACATTTATTTCCACTGTGCAATTCTGTGGGAGGAAGGCACCACCATGAAAAAGATCAAAACAACCCTTTGCTTTGTTGCAAGCCTCAGATTTACAGGCACTAATCACCGCATGGAGATATGATATGCATACATCAGGAACTGAGGAAATCTAGAGAGCATGTGATGTTGTGTACTCTCATTAAGACTTCAAAGGTCCTAAAGAAATTTGGCGCCCAAAGGGTGGGACTAATTTCACCCAACTTTAACCATCCAGAAGTTGGGCGCCTGGTCTAGTTGTCTGGTTGTCTAGACTGCCTCTGGTAGTCAATAAAAGAGGGAGGTAAGTATCTCTGGAGGTTGATTCCTCCCACCTCTCTTAGCCACCTATTTTAGGATGTGATGAATCACTGTCTGGAGATGTCTATCTCTTTCCATTAGCCATAGAGGCCGTCACAAAGATGAAATTAAAATACATGGCTAGTCGGATGGCTGAAGTTGGGAGGGAGGTGAAGCCAGGCCCAGTGTTTGATGAATTTTATGAGGAATATTCTTTGAAAATCCCTGTCTCTGCTTCTAACATATAACAAATGTAGGTTAAAGAAAGAAAAAAGAACACATTACCATACTGAATCCCCTTGGATGTCCTTGGCATTAGAATATCCTTGCAGAATACCCAAGGGGATGAGGACGTGCTAATGAAATCATTTTTTTCACTCCATATAAACAACATAGACAAGAGTCTATAGAGTCCATGAAATTGTGTGCACAAAAATATGTATCGGCACCCAACCTTATATCTGCTAAATGGTGCTCACAGAGATAGGTTATTGCTATTGTCCAATCTGAATACAACGAATTTTCTATGTCTGTGTCTAATTACAGAGGCAGGGCACAGCTCTTTAAGAATATCGCATAAAATATATTTTAAGAGCTAGTTCAGATTCATCTCCAAAGGCAACAAACAGATGAGTGAACTTCACATGTTCTCATAACAAGTTTCATTTTCAGCAACACATTCAAGGAGAAGAATGCTGACAAAGGCAGAGATTGCAAGTGTATAGAAATAACTCACTCACCCCTCCTCAAAATATTTTCCTTCATTTCTTCCTGAGTTCCTCCCCCCAAAACAGATGAAAGAGGATGAAAAGGATGAAACCTTTTTTTTTTTTTTTTTTTTCCCGGGTGAAAAATAGAAAACAGGAGAGATTCCACTTAGAACAATGGAAAACTCAATGTCCCTTGGAAAGACCTGAAAGACAATAACTGAGTCTTCTGCAGAGCTGCCCTCATGCTGGGATCCACCAACAAAAGCAAGAGTTTGACCAACACACAAATGTTACTCGATACTGGACAACTTACTGCAAAAATCTCTTACCTTTCATAAAGCCAGTGGCTCTGGTGAGATGTTTTAGACTGCTGACGTGTAGTTGGTTCGCAGGTTATTAATTGTAGTCTATGAGGTGTTCCAAGAGTCTCCCACACAGCCTACCTGGATAATGGGCTGCAGACAGGGAGCAACGGCTCTTGAGCTTTCAGTCTGACTTTTGATTCAGGACACAATTTTCCTATGCAGAGCATCTATTACTTCTCACTGGGTGGAAGAGCTGAAACGATTGCCTTTTATACTGCTCTTTGGAGTCAAACATGCATTTCACTTCTGATACTCTCTATGTAGAGCTTAAAGGCTCTGGGAACTTAAGACCATATAAGCTTTGCCTTGAGCTCTCTAATATTTGCCAAATGTTTTAACTGATATTGTCAATTGTACTGGCAACTCAGTATGAACTGCGAGCCTAAGATACTGTAAACAAAGCTGTAATCTAAAACTCATGCTGTAAATACGCTGAATTATCCTACTTGTGGAGAGCAAGAACATTGGTTAGTGCAACTAATTTGTACCACCAGCCCCTCTAACTCACCCAAGTTGCAATTACATCCTCAATTAATAGTCTGGTGAATCTCTGTATGGTAGTCACGTCCTATGGTCTGCTAAATGTGGCATTATTTTTGTGATTTACGCTCCTCTCTCTTGGAAAATGCTTTCATAGGAGGCTAACCAGGAGGAGTGAAGGTGGTTACCAGTTATCTCCAGATACTGTCATGTAAAATGTACAATATGTAGACTTCTCTGAGTACAGTTCCCCTTCAGTCAGGAAGGGCAGAGAACATTTAGCTGAGTTGAGTGTGTGCTATAATGTCGCTTTCTCTCATGAGCACTTTGCTCTCAAAGAGCCCTATTGTTTTGAATCTCCAATTGCTGGTTTGAAGAAGGCCCCAAGAAAGAACAGAGACAATTGGCAGATAGGTCTGGTGTCTCACCTCTTTGGGCTGGTGACTTCGGATAGAGCCTCATCTTACCAAGGTGAGTCACCACTGCAGGTGCCCAGTCTAATCTACTCATTGAGACTTCCTCTGGTGATGGAGAAAGATCACCACCTATGGAGAATGATTCATCCCAATTCCCCCAGCCTCGGATCCAGAGGTTATTGGTTGTCTCTCCCTTGAAGGTGCCTCTCCACTGACTGTCAAGGACATGTCTGGCAAAGCTATCCAACCTTTAGCTGTTGCTTGTTGAATTAGATGAATTTTACTAGCCTGAAATGTGTTGCTGCTCCGTTTTTGTTACCTGTAGAGATGACCAAATGACAAAGCAAGACATTCTCTAACATCCTGCTGGTAGAGGCTCCAAAATAGTAAGGGCCAAAGCTTTAAGTGCATCAAATGGATCTCTGGTTAAGAATTTGTAATTATTATTCAAGTGACAACAACAAGGTGAAATGTACCTCAGTTTCTTGACTGCAAGAGAAGATCCGTGTGGAATGTCCCATAGGAGCACTTCTGCGGGAAAGGGAGCCCGTTTTCAGTCCCTGCTTTTGAATCCAGACCCATAACACAGTGGGATTTTTTTTTTTTTGGTTACATTTCCGGATACAAAATGAGCCTGGTGAGAGAAAAAAGGAGAGATTGTGAAATTTCCCCCACAAAGTGCAAGTCTGCAAAATGTGCCATCATACACAAAAACCCATGAGACGTAAAACCCCAAACGACACATGGCAAACAAATCACAAAGAGTTTCTTCAAAAATGTTTGCTAAACTATAATTAGTGTAAGTTAGGGGAGCACTTCAAACCATAATATATTCTAAACCAACTTGCAAACAGAGCACTTTTAGATTCCTTTTTATTTCCTCAGTAGTTAGTATTTGCTGGGCTGTTTTGCATTTTGAGGAGCATTTATTGCTGCCAGGCAAACCAAACCCTTAAGCGCTTTAAATTAATGTCCTGATCCTATCAAGGCCAGCTTCCTAAATATATATAAGGGGTAGCATCAACTGTGTCACTTCAGCGGGATCGCTGCTCCTCTCCTGCAGAAGAACTTCCCCTAAACATTCGCATTCCACCTTCAAATAACTCACAATGAGCAGACAGGCACCTACAGTGAGATCTGTCCTTGGACGAAGAGGCTTCAGCTCAGCTTCTGAGATCTGTGGTCGAAGCTACGCGGCCTCTGCGTGCCAACCTGTCCGATGCGGAGCCTACAGCAGCAGGAGCGTCTGCAACCTAGGTGGAAACAGAAGAATTTCCTACGTGAACGGGGTCTGCGGTACCGGATGCTATGGAGATTTTGGCTATGGAGGTGTAGGCTTTGGGAATGTTGGAGGAAGGGTTGGCCTTTGCAGTCCTAGGGGATTTAGTATCGTGCGAGGCTACCCAGATCGCAAGGCTGAAGGTATCCAAGGCATCTGCATTGACGAAAGGCTCCTAAAGCCCCTCTGTGTTGGGGTCGACCCGCTGGAACATGAAATTCGCTGTCAGGAGAAGGAACAGATAAAGACCCTCAACACCCAGTTCGCTTGCTTCATTGACAAGGTGAGTGCAATTTGTTCCCTACTTACCCTTCTCGGAGGAAAAAAATAGAAAAAGTAGTTTAGTTCATGGTGGGCATCACTGTGCTGGATCCATGCGAGGATCCAGATCCCCATAGAACTATGCTTTTTCAGGCTGAGATCTTCAGTACTGGAGAAACTCAGTTAGAACTTGCGGGTGCATTCTGGCCATAGCAGTGTTGAACTTTCTTCTAGGAACATCTCTCTGGATAGCCTGAATTCAGGCTGGATTTCTCCTTGCAGCCTTGTCCTAGCTCAGCTAAATTTGCAATTCTGACAAGCTCATTTTTCTGTCCTGTTTTCAGTTTGCTTTTCCCATCTTTAAATAAAGTAACTGTTCCCAAAACATTTCTAATGATGAAGGCAATTAATCGTAATTCAGATATCTAAATGTTGGACATCTGAGCCACCACCTTTGGATCCCTTGGCAGAGAAAAGGGACAAACAAGTCCCTTCAGCTGGGGACTTAACCTCATCTTGGAATACATCACATACACCTTCTGGAGCAGCTTTATTTTTCCTTGGTGAGAAAGGGAATTTGCTCAGATTTAGACAGCTGACTTTTAGATTTTAAATAATAGATAATTTTGTTGTCATTTTGGCATATCACTTCTCATTTTCCAAAAATCCCATTCTTACATGTTCTTACATGTAAAGATTCTCGTTATCTGGATCCAAAGTGAGAACATGCAGTTAAATCAAGTGTTGAGTTATTGATTTTCTCTCTTTACTCGAACAACTGCTACTTTTTGGTCTGCAGGTCCGATTTCTGGAGCAGCAGAACAAAGTGCTAGAGACCAAATGGGGCCTCTTGCAGCAATACGTCCTACCAAAGAAAGGGAAAAACCTTGAACTGTACTTTGAGAATTACATCTGTGATCTGCGGAAGCGCCTGGACTGCTTGTTGTGCGAGAAGCAAAAACTGGGCAGCGAAGAGTGTGCCACAAGCCAGCTGGTGGAGGAGTTCAAGTGCAAGTAAGGCCTTTAGATTTCCTATGGCTGTTGTCATTTCACTTGTATATTTTGTCTCAGGGAACTTCTCCCAGACATGCGGCAAATCCCCTTTGGGGATGTCAGCTCCTCCTGTCTCACCTGGGAACTCTTTGCATTGTTAATGTTGTTCATGAAGAAGCTTCTGATCTTTGGATGGTCTGATGTTTGGTCTCCAGACACGGGTCCTCCCGTGTCTGATGGCAGTCCCCAAAAGCTGTTATTTTTTCCAAACAGTGTCCGCGGGTTTAACGCCTGGTTCAGCCCTTTTACTGCTCCTTTTCCAACAGGTATGAAGAGGAAATCAACAGGCGCACAACTGTGGAGAATGAGTTCGTGGCACTCAAAAAGGTGAGAAACTAAGAATAAATGGACGATTACATCTATCACGAGGGTATCTGGCATGAAGCCAGCTAAAAACATAAATATTATTGGAAGATGATTGGGAAAATGTGTTAGAGTGGATGAAGAACAGGAAGCCTGTAAAGAAACACAGGGTCAGAACAAGATGGGAGAAGGGAGTGGAAAGTAAAAATATTGTGCCCCTCAAGTAAGCAGCATCAGCACTGCAGCACTAGTTTTGTTCCCTCTGAATTCCTTAAATTTTCACAAGGGTCCTTTTGAATGGACCCAGTAGGAAAGGTTACACTGGAACACTTGGTGTTGAAGAGGTTGGATATCTCCTGACAGCTTCTTCAGATCCTTTATACCTTGGCAACACAAAGTGAGAAACCATCTGAATAATACCTAAAAATTATATTTAAATACTCATTAGTCACTGCTGAGTTTGTAGCTAATCCTAAGTAATAAATAAACTAATTCCTTTAAGTCACGTTGGAATGGGTTTGTTTTCCTTTAGAAGACACCAGGGCACCTTGACTCAGCCTCTCACACCTTTCTGTTCTTGAAATCTTGTTGAAACAGGTTTCATTTTATTGGCAGAGAGTCTGTTTTCTGAGAGTTTCTCCAACATTTTTAGTGAAATCAGTCTGGAAGGTGTCTCCTCTCTCTTTCAGGATGCAGACTGCATCTTTTTGAACAAAGAAGAGCTGGAGGTGAAGGTGGATTTGTTAAGAAGGCAGTTGGAATTGTTGAAATGCGTGTTTGAGGAGGTGAGTTGCTCTGGTCTGTCCCACAAGTCTCGTTCAATCTCATCCTTCAGGTGGTCCAAATTTCTGCAGCTTGAAATCCCTCTTGGACTGAGCCCCATACGCTCGAAAATATGAAACTAGAAGATTGATATCAAACTAACATCAGTATGTTGGTTGAATAGGTGGACAAATCCTCTTTTCTTAATGCAGCTTCAGACAGAAACTGGCTGTGTCCTAACTCTACCTCTGGAGGACGAGATGAGTCCGTCTAGTTACTCCGGATTGCAATTGTCTGATTAGAGCTAGAGAAACTCTCAATTTATTCCTGTCATTAACACCAGTCAAATGGCTGAAGATGACAGGATGCTAAAGGTTAAGTCACTCAAATTCCTTGCCCTTGATGTGGACAGAATTGCTGCAGGTCAGCACGTAGGTCAGCTGCTGACATGTGGTAACCCATCCAGCTGGGAGGATTTTCTGCTGAAGGACATTTCTTGACATGTTGTATCCACCAGATGAGCAGTGTGGCTCTTTGTTCCAGCCCTTCCTTCACTACAAAGTCTGAGAATTGCTAAGAGCTGACTAAACCATTCCCCAACATGCAGGAACGAGCTCAGGTGGATCGCCAGCTATGCGACACTTCGGTCATTGTGAAAATGGACAACAACCGAGACCTGGACATGGAAAGCATCATTAAGAACGTTGAATGCTGGTACCAAGAAATAGCTCAGAAGAGCAAAGAGGAGGTTGATGCTTTCTACCAAACCAGGGTGAGCAAGGAATGATGTGGGTCTCAGCCAGACTGCTTAACGGGCTGCAGGGTTGAACTGATGTCTTGTTTCTCGATTTCAGTTTCAGGAGCTTCAGGATAAAAGGGGCAAGTATTGTGATGATCTGCAGAGCAATAAGTGTGAGATTTCAGAGCTTACCCGGATGATACAGAAGTTGCAGTGTGAACTTGAGAATGCGAAGAAGCAGGTAAGTGGGACGCAGAGATGCTGCTTGCAGAAGGGGCTATGTCTTATAGGAAACCTGAAATCTGGGTCAGGAAAACACATCACCCCTTAGTAGACTAAAAACTACTTGAGGCTAAGTCATACATACAGAAAATGCTCTAGGGAAGACAGAGTGTTTTCTCAGTTTAGAGCTGAATGAGATGGTTAATTCAAGGGCAAAATGCCCATGACTAAGGCACTGAAGACAACCACACTGTTATGCTCTCCTCTGCCAGGTGACCTGTCTGCAAACCTCCATTTGTGATGTTGAGCAGCGAGGGGACTGTGCCCTGAAAGATGCCCGGGAGAAGCACGTTGAGCTGCAGAACGCCCTCCAGAAGGCCAAGGATGAGCTGGCTTGCATGCTGCGGGATTACCAGGAGCTGCTGAACGTCAAGCTGGCCCTGGATATCGAGATTGCAACCTATAAGACTTTACTGGAGGGCGAAGAGAGCAGGTGGGTGACAGAGACCTTGTTCTTTTTGCTCTGCATGTCAGTGAACTTAGTGCCCAAGTGAACTTACTTGGGGATACTCCCAGACTCATAGAAATTGGGCCTGGAGAGATGGCTGGAGGCCATACAGAACCAGGAAAAAGAGCTCCTGTCCTATGGATAGCGAGAAATGTTGCAACAAGGGATTAAGAGACAAAAGGGCTGAATACGTTGCTGGCAGATATGTGTAATTCCACGTTTCTAGATGTGCCACCAACTAATAGTTTAATGTGCCTTTCTCTTCTCTCCTCCAACAGGATATGTGTGGGGAACCCAGTGAGCGTGTGTAAGTAATTTGAAAACTTATGGCTACTCCATTTAGAACTAGGGCTAGAGTTCCTATGCTCACTTAAGGAAAGATAGGTTATGAGGCAGCATTATCCGACTCTCCTGGCTCCCTCTGCCATTGATAACCTCTTCCATTTCAACCCAGTTTGAAAATCTGGGGAAGTTTGGGGAAGTTTTCATCCCCCCAAATCTCAAGCACCTCCAAGTTTCAAGACAGTTGGCATTTGGGTGGAGGGAGGAAGTTTCAATTCATTCTCTTTGCTCCTTTTGGAAGCAACCACCAGCTCATCCGGCCATGCCCAGATGTGCATGGGGCTGGGAGAGAAAACGCTGCCAGGGAGATGAGCAGTGTGGGAACTGGGAGGGGATGTGTTGGGACATGGTGGAGGAATGGAAGGATCAGGGGCTCCAGTTTGTTGGACAAACCTAGAGGAAATCAGGTTTGGTCGGTTCTGTCATTCGTGAAACAACTTGTCTCTGAGGAGCGTTCCAGCTCTTCTCTCCAAATAACAAAGCCTGTGGGTTGTCTCGCAGCTGTGGTCAGCAGCGGCTACAACATTCCCGAAGAGTGCGGGGTGTTGCCTGGAAGCGGGGCCGCGTGTGGCTACGGCTCCCTGGGAAGACGGTCCGGACGACACGGCTCCCAGACCGGAGGCTTCAGCTCCCGCAGCGCCGGGATCCACCAGAGGAGAGTCGTCAGCTCTGTGGCCAAGCAGTGCGTCCCGGAGGTGTTTTGCCAAGCTGGAGGGGTCAGCTGCAAAAGCGGAGGGTTTAGCTCCCGAAGCGGGGGCTACCCGGCCCCTACCGTCATCAGCACGGGGAGTCCAGGCTTGAACGCGAGGATCGGAGCTTGCCAAGCTGGTGGTGTCGTCAGCTTTGGAAACCAAGGCTGTGTCATCAGGCAGCTGGGGAGCTCTCCGGTTGTTGTGGCCAGCAGCCCTGAGGTTGTGGGGTGCAACAACGGAGTGGTGGGGAATTTTGGGGTCGTCAGAGACCAGTGTGTGGTTCCATAGGCCAACAGCCACGGAGGTGGCACAACATCAGGGTGTAACGCTTAGACAGGGGGTTCCTCCACCTGAAATGATGCACAATAAATTCACTGCCCACTAAGATACATTTATGAAGAGCCCATTCCCACGTAGAAGCCCTCATTAGCATCACATATACACCCCACCAAGGTATGTTTTCAGAATCTCCCAACCTAAAGATCCATCTCTAGTAGCTTCTCCAACAGGTGCTCAACACAGTGTCTGTGCTTCAAGTCTATACTCCCCAGATTATCGCAGCTTTAAGGGTTTGCTTGTTGCCCTGCTTTCTCTCTCTGGCTTTTCCTCTAATCAGCAGGTTCATTAATTAGTCTTTATTACAAGACACCTCTTTTTCTTGCAGCACCTCCCACCGCATTTCAGAAAAGAGTGCGATGGTTTAACTTTCCTAGAAGGCATTGCAAAGAGCATGCTGCTTTTCTTGTCCAAGAAGAAACCCTGAGCTGCAAATCTCAGCTCCAGTTTCAAGCAAGGAAATCCCAATTTTCAAAGCACCTGCTATTTTCACTGCAGCCATAGGCTTCTTTTTTTTTTTTTTTGTGGAATTTGCTTACAGATGAATACATAGTACTTTCATTTGCTCTGCATGTTAGGAATGGCTAGTTCAAAGCATGCTGATTTTTAGAAGAGCTCCCCCCCATCCCAGAAATACCAAGGAAAGTTTCTTGAAGTTAACGGTGCATGATACTTCTGAGCGTGACATCTTGTATCCAAATAACCAGAGCTTCTCTCGTTGACTTCTCAAACTTTCCAGCTTTTCACTGTGCCTTCAATAAACTGCATTGAACGTAACTATTTTGTCCCTGAATTTTTCCACCTACAGCATCTAAGGAAATTGAATAATGGGTGAAGGGCTTTCTCACAGACTAAATGTCCACACAGAGACAGCCAAATCTTTTAATGCTCTTTAGAAAATCTGGGGACTCAGATTCCAGGAAAATCCAAAGGTGTTTGTTCTGTTTTACTTACATCCTTGTATCACATCTCCTATATGATATTTTAGAGCTCAAGATGATCTTTACAAAATCAACAGCTGTTACCAAAGCTTGCAAGAAACTTCTTTTTCAATCATTCTCATTCTGAGCATTGTAAGGCTTCCTCTCTGGCAAATGTAGCAGTCTGTAGCTTCACTCACTGCTGAAGACAGAACTGCCAACTCTGACCTTGTCTTCCCTACCTGGGCTCAACAGACTTGTAATTGAGGGTCTTCTTCACCAGATTCCTGTGTTCTAGGCACAGAAATGCCAGTAGAGCGAACAAACTCTGACATTTCGTGAATGTCTTCAAGCACAAAGGGATCTCTTGGTTGTAACAAGGTGGGATTGACTTTGTCTCAGCTTTAAAGTTTTCCATGTAGAGCTCCACACTTGGACTAGTCACTGAGGGCCTATTTCATAGAAAGAACCAGCATTTCCATGGTGAGATTAATTCTGACTGAACATAGACACCTAGTTTAGATGAGATGTACCAAGCTCTAGACTCTACTGGCTGCATTGACTAGATTTCTCCTGGCTCTGCGGGGAGCCTGGGGCAAGAGTGTTAGCACAAATGGGACATCACCATGCTAGACGCCTGCATGTAGTCAGACGAATCCACCCTGCCTGTCATTCACAGGATTCACAGACACTATTATCACAGTGAATTTCTTCCTGTCTCCAGCACATGAAGAATTACAGGTCACTCAGCACCACTAATCTCTGTACTCTTGCAGGGCAAAACTCTAATTGCAACCTAAAACCCAGCAAAAATTAAAGGCCAACACAGGGAAGAAGATAAGCACCTTTGAGAAGAGTCATAACGTGTCATTTCTATGTTGAGTGGAAACCTTCTCATCCAGCTTTGACCATCTGAATGTTAGACTAAAATAGGTGAGATGGGCAGTCCACCACCTGAGGTCTCCCTTCTCACTGTTGAGTAGAGGAAGTCTCATTCAAGAGTTTATCCAACTTGGAAGTGGCTAAAGCTGAATGAGATGGAGCCCACCTAAGTGATGAATCTTTGATCTGAATGCGTTCACCACTGTGTTTTTTGCAAATGTAACTTGAGAAGGACAGTCCAACACTTAGAGTACCAGTTGAGAAATTAGGGAGTTCCAGTTAATTACCTAAACGTCACCGATTCCCAGGGCAACCTCAGACAAGTCACTATGGGCCATGACCAGGTAGTGTGTGTGGCACAGCTGTCTAGGAATCACTGTGGCTCGAAACTTTGTCCTTCCTTGGGGCTAGGAGGAGACACAGCCATCCCCTCACTAACCATAGGGAGATACTAGTCTTGGGTTTTTGTTTTTGTTTTTTTCAGAGGCTTAAGCTGAGGCCGCTTTTTGTTGGGTTTTGTTCTTGCTAAGGATGGTTGCTTGGGAAAGAGAAGGTGGAGAAACCCACAGCTTTGGGATCCGGGGTTAGTTCTCACCAGCTGCTGCTGATTGACTTGACTAGTGAGTCTTGCCCTTGCTTGCACTCCCTCCATGACCTGGCGAAACAGGAATTCGCTTTGCATGACGTTCCCAGCCTCAAAGAGCTGAGAGCCCAGCAAGCCCCAGGTCTTCTGGAGCTTCTTCCTCCTGACCATTAATGTCGTGAAGTCAAAGTTTCAGATAACAAGGCCATCGTGGGATATCGTGAAGGGAAAGGCAATTCACACCAGGGTTGTGCCTCTTCCTACGGGGGCGAGCTGCAAATGGGAATATGAAACAGGCTCCTAATGTAACGAAGGGTGAGTCCTCCTCTCATCCAAACCAAGAAAAGCAGGAGGCGACTGCCTAATTTAAGTGGGAGCATAATGATCTTTTGGTAAAATGAATAATAGAGAGAAGAAAGAGAGATGATCCTACCTGTTCCAAAACAAGGGCAGGACCTTTCCTCTTAGTGCGTCAGTCAACACCCAAAAGTTCTTAGGTATAATTTTAGCAAATCGAAGCTGGAAAGAAAGGCTGACATTTTCCCCCTATGGCTATAGCTGTATGGGCTATGTCTTCAGATTTGGTCCCAATAGCAAAAGGAAAAGCTTAATCTCAGATGATTTCCAAACCATTCATTAAGTCTTGCATTACAAGCTGTAAAAGGATGGGAATACTTCCTGAGCTGAAGGTGAAGTTTCCTTCACTCCTTACCTGGAACAAGCCACAGATGGAGGCTCCAAGATCCAGCACTGGACAACAGGTCTTTGCTTTCTCCATTGCTGCTCATTGGGCGCTATGAAGGTTCCAGTTTTGTGCAGCCTTTGGATACCTTCCAGGTGGAAGAGGACAGGGAATGAGAAGAGACAGCAAGAAACTCAGTGGCTCTGCTGGAACAGGAGCTCTCTCTGATCCTTGTGGAAGTCTCCAGTAGCTTTGACGGTTGACAGTGTACAGGAGGCAGCTGAAATGACACAAGATATTTTAGCTTTAAACATCTCAGAGCTTATAGGACCCCCATAAGTGCACGACATTTAATGTTTATAGTCACCAAAGAGTTTCTGAAGTAAATTTTCAAATATCATCTGCCTTTTTTTGGCTTCAAATGCCCATTTTGCAAGACGTGTATCTATCTTCCAGAAAGTACAAGTGGTTTTATGCCCCCTTTTTGACTCCTGGACCATATGACGTGGCTTAGCCACCTTTGTGATACTTTGCTTTCTATTCTTGAATGAATACACTGTTTACTGTAATTATGACTATGCTATTATTATTATTATTACTCCTAGTAGACCATGCTGGCAACCAAGTGGGTGGCTGCCCACCAAGGGAAATCCAAGGTTGTATTTTCAGCCCTGCACCAAGAAAGTGGATAAACCCTTTCCACAGCAGGTGAGAAGAAACAATACAGAAGGAACTGCCACAAAGCAGATTGTGGACAAATGCAGGCAACAAAATTAGCTGCAATTAGCTTCCCCTGTTGATGCTCAGTCTCATTCCTCGCAGCCAGACAGCTCCACGTCCACGCTGTACTCAAAAGCAAGCTGCTGTGTGTGATGTGGTTGATGCTACCAGCAGGAGGGAGCAGGGAAACTACCTCAGATCCCTTGTGAAAAGGCCCAAATGCATCCCATGGGATGGAGGATTCCCTAGTCCCTTGGGTACAAACAGTGTAGGATCATGCCAGGTCCTTCATAACACTGCTTAATAAAACTTCCTTGGTCTGGATTTCTCCATTTCTATTCTATGTCCCAGAAAATATGACCTGGAAATCAGAAAGGACTCAGAACCAGGCATGAGTTTATGATGGTCCTCCAGAGAGGAAAGGAGAAGAGGTAGTTGTGTATTAGGGACATTTCTTCATTTACCCCCACAAAGTATATGCAGATCAACACTTCCCAGCACAGTATTTCCTTGCTATCAGCCAGCCATTATTATTTTCTCACTATTATTTTTTCTCACTATTATTTGTTTTCATCTGGAAGCCAGCGAATCCTTAAAAATTCATGTGATCTTTACAGGTCTGCTCCTCTCAAAACACAGACAAACAAAGGCTTAACTTTTTCTTCCCACTGTTTTCCAGCTTGCTTGAGTGAGGTGGCTGAAGGAAACTCCTAACCGCAGACAATGCGATCTGCAAGTCTCTTCAAAAGAAACAAAAGGAACCCAAACCCAAACCAACTATGTGAAACACCTGGCTTGCTCGCTGTGAACTTCTCGGTGTCTGCATGTGGCTCGTCCTGTGTTATCTTCAAAAGAAACAAAAGGAAACCAAACCCAAACCAACTATGTGAAACAACTGGCTTGCTCACTGTGAACTTCTTGGTGTCTGCATGTGGCTCGTCCTGTGTTGGTGGACGGTGCATTCCTCGCCACGACAGGACTGCAGGCAAAGGTGGATTTGTTGAGGCAGGAGCTGGAATTGCTGCAATCTGTTTGGAGTTGTAGTGATTCCTTCTCTTCTGTGCCCAGGGAAATGCAGCATTTGTTTTTTTCCTGGAAACACTCTGTTCTCCAGCACAATCCAGTTTGCTGTGGACAAAATGGAGTTTGCTGCTGAAATGTCTAT